ACACAAAAACCCAAAGGAAGCAGGCATCATTTCACATTCAACTTGCAATTCATTTTGTGACTCTATCATTATGCCAGCTCATTTGTCTGCAGTTTAAAATGTGTTATAAAGTCAAAACTTAGAAGTAAAATTCTTTCACTTCCTGATACTAGAGTGAGTGTGGTACATCTGCCTGTTTTGGATCGTTTCTAAGCATTTCTCAAAGGTTAGTTGCACTGTGCCTGAAAGATGCTGTTTTGAACCATCGAAAACCGTTCCCTCAAAACTTTATCAGAGCACAATTTCTTTTTTTAAAACTCTCTGTTGGCAGATATCACTATTCGAAGAGTTTAATGTTAGTCACCTTGCCCTATTAATTTTATTTCTGAAATGTCTCTTGAATATGTCCCCTTTTATCCAGGCTCCTGAGACTGTCTTATGTCACGAACACCTCTCTGCCAGTCCTGTTACCGGGTCCTGGGTTGACTTCTGTTCCAATCTTTCCTAATTTAATTATCTCTTCAGGTTCTTCTCAGGGTTAGTTACCAAGAAATAGGATAGACCATAGAGGTTTTTTCCCTTTGTCTTCTAAAGCCTTCGAGGGCTTTTATTTGCTTATGTGATATGGTCTGAACTACTTCAAGATCGTTAACATCTAGCTTCCAAATGCCTCCCAGTGTCAACTTCCCCTTCATCCGTCTACATATATTAGATTTAGGAACCGGCGTGTTCCACAAATACACCCGATGCTTTCACGTTTCTTTGTCTTTGTTCACTCTAATTCCTCATCCCGAATGTCCTTACTCCGCTTTTCTAGTTATGGAAACCCTAGCTCAACTCAAATATCACCCCTTCACGAAGCCTTGGGTACACCTGAAAGTACCTGTTCTTTCCTCTCTCCCCCCCCCCACCCCCCCAGAGCACCCTGGAGTAAATTAGTATACTGACGATGGAGAAAGGCTTACAGTTGAATCAAAGTCTATTCAGGGACCCTCTTGGTGTTAGAGAGATGATTTAGTCTTCAAGGAAAGAAATACCAAACACGTTGGGATGAATAAGAGACCTGCTTATTGGTTCATGTACCCAAAAATCTAGCAGTTGAACTGGCTGACTGTGGTTTCAGGGTCTGTCCTTCATTGTATTTCCTGGTTCTAGATTCCTTCATGTTCATGCCTTCCTCTCAGTCTTCAGCAGACCCTTCACTCATGCATGGGAGGAAAGTAGTTCTAACAAGCCCCAGATGTAGAGGCTGTTTTCAGCTCTTTATCTCAAAAGGAGAGAAATCCTCTTCCGTAATACCTGTATCAACAGCCACAGCCCCACCCCACGCCACCCCGGCCACCAGAGGACACCGAGTGTCCCTCTTTGGGTCACGCGTCCACCTTGGCTCTATCGCTTTCCCCTAACTGGGAAGTTGAGGTTCTCTGATTGGCCAGCATAGGTCATATGCTGGTTCCCGTGGTGAAGGAAGTGGGGCCACATGATGGACAGGAGCGCCAGAGTATTGTAGAGTGAGGAAGGAACCATCTCCAAGAGTAAGGTGATTTTCTTCATTATATTTTCTTTCGGGTTCTTTCCTTTTGCTCTCCATTACAGCTCACTTTTCATGTGTATCTTCTCCTTTGAATTCTAAGCTTCTTGAGGACATGTATGTACCTCCATTCCATAAACGTTAGCAGGATTCAATAAATATTAGTTGAGTGACGGACTTACCAAGCAGATGGCAAATGAAAGAGCACCCCAAGTTAACATTTTAATGGGTTAAGGATCTTTTTGACCTTTCCAGAGCCTCATTAGTGAGACTTGATATTTTGGGAATTAAGGAAGATGCGCATTCACAGAAAATGGGGGAGGGCTTACTATTTAAGATAACAATCCTTTTCTGTACAGTATCAGACCCTGAACACTTCCATCTATGATTTGGCTAGCAAAAACCATTTACATCAAACATTTTTTACTTGGAAAAATGCTTACTTTTAGTAGAGAAAATATTGATATAATCACTAAAACAATGATACTTGAAAGCTGCATCTTTAATTTCTCACCATTTGGCAGTCAATTTTGTTTTATCCTCTTAGAAAGTAAGAGGTCTTGCCAACTAGAGTTTTAAAGTCTTCAAAATGGAAAATTAAACAGTAGTTCCTCATTTCTTTCCTTTTCTTAGTAACTTTAAATAAATCTAAGAAAATGACCCTGCTTTGCATACTTTTGCTCTAAATGCTCTTAAAGAGCTTCATTTAAACTAGCTATTTCATTAGTATGATGCTACACAACACAATTAACCACTCTTGGCCGTGACATGAACAGTACTATATTGTGAATACTTAATTTGTATTGTTTCTTTCAATGAGCTTTTTAAAGGAATTTCTAAGCTCATTTTCATCAAATCTGTGTTTAGAGGTTGCTTAGGGTGGAGGTTAAGCATTCTGAATTTAGAAACAGATTGGCCTGATATGAAATCTAACTCTGCCACTAATTAGTTCTGGGTGTCCTTGGATCTTCAATTTCGGTTTCCTCATCTGTAAAATGGGACCAATGATATCTGGCTCAGAGAATTGGGAAGATTAAAGGGATAATGTGAGATTGTGTATGGAGTATATGGAATGTTGTTAAAGCCTCAATATAAGGGCTATTATGATAACAGCTATTATTGTACTGCTTTAGACAGGAAGCAAAGCAGGAATCACCAGGAAAGGGATCTTTGAGCCATTGTATTAAAAGTGCTCCTGCATAGGGGCGCCTGGGTGGCTCAGTGGGTTAAGCGTCCGACTTCGGCTCAGGTCATGATCTCACGGCTCGTGAGTTCGAGCCCCGCGTCGGGCTCTGTGCTGACAGCTCGGAGCCTGAAGCTTGCTTCATGTTCTATGTCTCCCTCTCTCTGCCCCTCCCCCTGCTCATGCTGTCTCTCTCTGTCTCTCAAAAATAAATAAACATTAAAAAAAAAAAAAGTGCTCCTGCACAGAATGGAAAACATGGCATTTAAAAGACGGAACAATGCCCTTATTTCATCTTCAGTAAGATGTCCTACTTTCAACCCTTGATGGACTGATGGCTTCACTGCTTTATTCTCGCATGCCTTCCCTAACTGCAACTGCCAGTATTTTGGGCAAAAGACCCCTCCTCCCTAGATGGACTATGAGGACCACAAGGCCAGTCCCACAAGACAGAGATATCTTACTCCATTTGAACTACATTTAATCTTTTTGGAAAATGTAAAGCTGTTATATTCCAGTTTCTTTTTTTTCTTTATTATTTTTTTTTAATGTTTGCTTATTGTTGAGAGAGAGAAAGAGAGGGAGAGAGAGAAAGAGAGCAAGTGGGGGAGGGGCAGACAGAGAGGGACGCACAGAATCCAAAGCAGGCTCCAGGCTCCAAGCTGTCAGCACAGAGCCCGATGCGGGGCTCGAACTCATGAACTGTGGAATCATGACCTGAGTTGCCATCGGACACGTAACCGACTGAGCCACTCAGGTGCCCCTATTCCAGTTTCTTAAATATAAAAGATGTGATATGAAGTAAGGAATAGCATACAGGGAGATCTAGGTAGACATGTCAGGGTTGTAATGAGACCACAAATCACAGAGCTTTGCTATGATTAGTCATGGTGGTCTAGACGATGATGGCTTGCCCAACTTGACAGCTGCCATGATTCTGGATTGAGCATACTGTCTCCTGCAAAGAGCATTCCTGTTTAATATGTACATACAGAAGGTGTTCCTTCTTATACACTCCTTGCCTATTGTCATTGGCTGTGTATGGTAATTTTAGAAACTTTATTTTGCAAGAATTTCAAACGTGCAGAAATGTTGCAAGGTTGGTTAAGAAAATTGTATAGCTTTAGGGGTGCCTGGCTGGCTCAGTCGGTGGACCATGTGACTCTTGATCCCGAGGTTGTGAGTTTGAGCCCCGTGGGAGGTGTAGAGATTACTTAAAGAAATAAAAATCTTAAAAAAAAAGAGGGAGAGAAAATTGTATAGCTTTTATCCAGATGCACAAATTTTGTTGTGAATGAACACATGGTAAAGATTTTAACTTACTATTAATGAAAGAAACAGGCGAACGTTATGACCGGTTCAAAGGTTCAATTCCAGATCAAGAGCATGGAAGTGAATTTGCAAATGGTTGCAATGCTGGCTTCTCACAATGGGGGAGGGAGCCAGGTGAAATGCTGCTTGACAGGATTTCTTTACTTGCCTTTAGACAAGAAACATTTCGCCTTGCCATGACGATTTGCTAATTTTAATTTTTTTTAATGTTTATTTATTTTTGAGAGACAGAGACAGAGCACAAGTGGGGGAGGGACAGAGAGAGAGGGAGACACAGAATCCGAAGCAGGCTCCAGGCTCCCAGCTGTCAGCACAGAGTCAGAAGGGGGCTCGAACTCAAGAACTGTGAGATGGTGACCTGAAATGAAGTGGGATGCCTAACTAACTGAGCCACCCAGGCGCCCCCCATGGGCTCATTTTATACATTTTGCCACATATCCTTTATCATTCCCTCTTTCTCTAATTAAACTTTTCTAAAGCCCTTTGAGAATAATTTGCATGCCTCCTGCCATCCTACCCATTAATACCTTGAATTCGCTATGAATCGTGGAAGAAAACACATTCTCTTACTTCACCGCGGCAGGTTATTAAATCCAGAAAATGCGACTTTGCCACAGTCCTTCCCTGTAATCCACGGTGCATGTTTTGTCAGTTGTTCTAATAATATTCTCAATGGCACTTTTCATTCTCCAGTATTGAATTCAGTCCAGGGTCACATATTTCAGAGAGTTATCATGTCCCTGCTGTGTCCTCGTGCTTTTTAGAAAAGTTTGAAGTTTGCCTACGTTGGAAATCTACAAAGACTGTGGCGTTTCCCTGCGTGCCTGTTGGTGTTGGTGTTACATCATCTACGAAAATATTCTCAGCTGTTACGTCAAAAGCTGACTTTAAAAAGAACAAAACAAGGGGGTTTCTACTCTGAAGTTCGACTGGGGGGTGGTGGCGGGGGCGGGGGGGCAGGGAGCAAGCATTAATCAGAACATCGAAGTGAGCCCCACCATGCCTACGTGTACAAATAGCCATTGATGGCTTTGCCATGCTTACTGAACTGAGTAAGTCTAAAAGCCTTCCGTGTGCATTCCTATTTTCGGGCGCAATACAGTACGTTAACCTCAGAATATCAAATTGAATCAGGGGTTCTGAGAAGAGCCGCCTGCAAAGCGGTTAGAATGACACTCCTCATTACACCGTCCAGATTCAGGTTTCAGACAACCATAACCAGCCTTCGCCGGCTTCTCACCTACAGGCAGACCCAGGCAGCCCCAAATCAGAGCCTGCCCTCCGGCAAGGGCTCCCGGACCTCTTCACAGGTGAAGTCCACGGAGACCCGGAAAGGTGAGCCTGAAAGGGGGAGGAAGCACCCTTTCCTGGTGACATTTTTTGCTTGCTTGTTGGTTGGTTGGTTTGTTTCCTCCGGAGGCCCAAATAAACAGCCCGGGGAAGGCTGCTCACCACACAGTATGTCAGCACATATTATGCAGTCTGGGGCTGAGTGGATGTGTCAGCTGCCCATTAGACCACACTAAAATAGAATTGCTGGACGCCTGAAGCATGAAGCATGATATTAGATAAAGTGATGAAATCTCACTCGATTAAAGAGCCAGGTCAAGGACAGTTACCTCGGGAAATTCCTTTTTTCCTCGAATATTCTCGCAACTTTGATGAATTTATCGTTTTCTTGCTTATTTTTCATTATCGTCCGGGGCTTTATGAACAATAAAATGTGCCTTCAGCAGGCACTGACATATGGGAGGGATCGGAATCATGGGTTATATTGATTCAAAGAAAGAAAGGAGGAAAAAAAAAGACGGGATTGACATTGCCACAGGTCAAAAGCCTTTGGAAATGTTGGATTGATTGGTTTAGACAGTTGTTTGATTTTTCTCTTTCTCTAGCTCTTTTATTTTTATTTTTTATTTTTATTTATTTTTTCCCCCTAGTAAAGGGATAAGAGAAAGAACAGAGAGGGTAATCTTTTTTTATTTTAGGCCCACTGAAGGATAGGAACAGAGGCATACGGCCTGGCAGAAATTTTTATTTTTCTTTATTTGATTTATAAGGACAGGAGAGAAATGCTTCTTGCAAAGGGCTCCTTTTTGCAAAAGGGCTTGCAGCCGGAATGGAAATGGCTGCACACCTGCCTTGCTTCTTAAAACCTGGGGTGCTTCTTAAAACCACAGCTCGCCTGTCTGGCACTTCCGAACCGGAGACAAAAAAAAAAAAAAAAGAAAAGAAAGGATTTGGGTCCATGCGTACTGCACTCTGGCTTAATTTCATCTACAATAACGTTTGAGAAGCAAAAGGAGGGAAGGTGAATATTCGGAGCACTTGGGTTTTCCCCTTAGTGCTTAAGTGTTCTCTCCATCTCTCCCTGTCCCCACCTCCCCGGCGGGTCCAAGGGACATCCAGGGATGTCCCCGTGGGAGCAGCGCTGAGGCCAGCTAATCAGAACACGTAGACGCTAATTCATTTGGTTCAGCTGCTCCTTGTTTGGGTCAGAAAGCGGCAGTTGCAAATGTGCTCATCTGGAGGGTTGAGAGCATTTTGCAGGTATATGTGCCAGCACCACTTGAAGGTCCTTTGCAAACTCTCAAACGTAATAAATGATGGAGGTGTTTTAGTTCAGTGAGTTTCCCATGCAGCATTTTAACTTTGGGCTCCAATTCCATCCTATACATGGAGGCTGCTTGAGTTTTTTAGATTCCTTTTTTTCCCTTCATAAAACAGGGATCATATTAGCATACTATGCCTTTTCTAGCTTCCAAGACTATAAGGAAGGTGAAGTAAGGTCACCTATTTACAGGGATGTTGAGTTCTTAAGATGCAAAGTATTATCTAGATGCCAAATAGTGTCATGATTATATTTTCATATGATACTAATTTTTTTTATTAAAAAAATTTTTTTAAAACATTTATTTATTTTTGAGAGAGAGAAAGAGAGAGAGAGAGAGCACAGGCAGGGGAGGGGAACAGAGAGGGAGACACAGAATCCGAAGCAGGCTCCAGGCTCTGAGCTTTCAGGACAGAACCCGACGTGGGGCGCGAACTCTCAAACTGTGACATGATGACCTGAGCTGAAGTCGGATGCTTAACCCATGAGCCAGCCAGGTGCCCCATATGATATTAATTTTTAATGCTGGTGGACACAGAATTTGTATGACCCAGGCAGCTGCACTCACTTGGAATGTGAACCATAGATACACTTAAAATTTACATCTTCTTTTCCAGCAAATTGCTTAGGCATTACATGATGTTTCTATAAATCTAGCTTCTTCTTTATAACAGCATTTCCCAGGGGGGAGCTGATGTCCAAGGCAGAAATACGTTAAAGAGCAGGTGGTGGGACAGGCAGGAAATGCGGAAGGTTTTTTAAGTATAATGTTGATGCCTCAGTTTCTCCAAAAATAATAGGACAAAAGTGAGAGGGCAATAGTTTTTTTCTTTTAATTACAGAAAGAAAAAGCATGATTACTTGCTACATACAAATGTTAGACAATTGTTTGCAGGTCTGATCAACTACAATCTTTCTCTTCCCTCTGGAGCCAAGGTTTTTTCTTTTTCTTTTTCTTTTTTTTTTTTTCCTCTTCAAAATATTGTAGTGGTTTGAAAGATCAGAAGGCAATTGTGCTAAATTTGCTATTATTAGCATGGAAGTGATAACAGCTTTCTTATCCCTTGGGAGAAGAAGAGGCAGGTGGGGGCCCAGCGATTCTCAGTGCGGTATCGGCAGGCTTCTCACCAAAACAAAAGGACTGAGAATATCTGCCTATGAGAAAATGAGGAGTCTGATACTTTTTCTCTGGGTGAGGTGCATGTTGAAGACACACAAAGAGGTAAAAGTGAGGGTCACGAAATGGGTGGAGTTTAAATTTTTTTGATGTGTATTTATTCTTGAGAGACAGAGAGAGATCGAGTGTGAGCAGGGGAGGGACAGAGAGAGAGGGAGGGAGGCACAGAATCCCAAGCAGTCTCCAGGCTCTGAGCTGTCAGCACAGAGCCCGACCCGGGGCTTGGGGCTTGAACCCACGAACCGTGAGATCATGACCTGAGCTGAAGTCAGACGTTTATCTGACTGAGCCACCCAGGCGCCCCAAAGTGGGTGGGGTTTTAAAGCCTTCTTTAAGTGGGGCTTTAATGGGGAATGGGGAAGACCCACACCAAGTATTGGTGGCAAGGTCAGGGGGCATGCCCCATGTTTTTCTTCCTCCCCACCGAACACCTGGGCAGCACCAGGCAGGAATCGTGTGTCTCCTGACGGTCATCTTGCTCATGATAAAAGTTATATGTCTCATCCCGAGCAACGATAAAACAAAACAACAACAAAAAAAATGACTTTGAAACCTCTCATTGGCACCTCTAATGAACACAATAGATAAAAGAATATGCTTATCAGAAATGGTCCTCCTTTGCTCCATGACGAACTCAGCAAATACTCCATTAGAAGGGTTTGGTTTCCCACGTGGGTGGTGAAGTCTCCTGAGTTATATTAAGGCTATAAATGCATTTGGAAGTAGCTCAGAGCCTCACTCGAGGGGATGGGTACTCTTTATTCGTCATTCCTCCCCAGGAGGCCCTGATTAGCCCAACACTCATTTGGTACAATAATGGAACAGGAAATTTCTTCTAGGCGCCTGCAACAGAAACTCAGTGGAATGTTTGCTACCTTGGGAGTATCAGGTCATTTTCATATCTGCCGGGGAAACACGTGATCCCGGAAAGGAGGGGCCGGGAAAACAGTGGCCTTGGACAAAGACACAGCTTCCATGGCAGAATATTTCCAAGCAGGGCCAGGGGTGGGAGTTTTGTCTTCCCCATCAAATCACCTTCACATGTTTTTCACCCTCTCCTTTAAAATGTATGCTTCCGTTTGGTTTGTTTTATTTTAACGTAAGAGAACCGACTGAAAGGGCAACTTCTGTGAACCTGCAGGCTTCTAACCCGAAGGGTTCGTCATTTCAGTCCTGAATACCGATTTATGTCCCCTCGGCCAGCACGAGGGGAGGGGCACATTTCTTTTTCTCCCCATGACGCCTTCCATGACATGACACATGAATGATGGAGTATATAATGATTTAACCAAGCCTGATCTTTCCACCTGGGGACACACACAGCACTTAAAGTGTCCGCACGTCCTATTTATTTATTTATTTATTTGATCTCTTAAGTAGAGAAACCAGGGTATTTAAAATCCACTGGCTTTTTAATCCTTTACACAGAGAATTCCTTTTTTCTTTTTACAGGGAAACTATCCCCACAAGCCAAAGCGGTCGAGTTTGAGTTATAGGGAAATTCCGCAAATGTTTACATTGTGATTCTTTCATTCTTTAATTGCTGCGGCTTTTGTATGACCTCCCCTTTATTTGGGCCCTGTGCAGAGGAGAAATTGCCATGTCTTTCATTCCTAAAGTTAATCCATCAGTCATGTCACTTTGACTGATTAGTTTCTTTCCCAGGGACCACACGGCATATGGATTCAGCTAGATTCATTCCTGTCTGATTCACTGTGTTGCAGGTGATGTGATGTGCCAGTGAGCTTCCTTGCAGCCAGTGCCGGGTTTCTTAAGAGCACTGGAGTACCTCTTGAATGATGTGGGAATTCCTCTAACGCCACTGATGTGGTGGTCCCTTTAGGGTAGGATATGCCACAGTCTTTTTTTTTTTTTTCCTTCTTGTTGTCTAGCTTATCCAAATACGATTTAACATAGGGAAAAGTAAGTGAACAGAAAGGAAGATGAGGCAGGTCTCATATATCTGGGTTTTAGATTAACATAGCCACATGGACCAGTACGAATTAAGCTACATTTGAAGTGGCCTCCGGGGAAGCCTACTAGTCCCCATAATCCAACGGCACTTAAATATTCAGGACAAAGTTATAAAGTGGCCAGTTGGTATTAAAACTGATCACACAGAGTAGAAACAGAGAGCGAAGGAAAAGCAGAAATGTATTTTATTTAGGAAGGCCTTGACAATTTAGATGCAGTCAAAGAGAGCTCAGTGTTCCTGTGTGAAAGAGGTTAGTTTTGCCTAATGTCCGTTATTACCCGAATCCAACGAAGATGGAATTTCAGATCCCAAGCAATACAGGAGAGAAGAAGGGTAAGGACAACTGGTCAGTGAGGGACAGAGGAGTGGGGCTTGGGGGAGAGAAAATACTGGGAGGATGACATTTGACCAAGACCATGAAGGAGATGGTCAAGTTGGTCTTGTAGAATCTTCCAGGTAGAGACAACAGCAAGTCAAAGGCTGTGTGGTAGGTAGGTACTGTGCCTGGTGAGTCTGAGGAAAACTGAAGACACCAGGTTTTCATGGAATGTTGTTGTAAAAGGGTGATAGAAGGAAATGTGGGGTCGTGAGGGGGTTCTCTTCAAGTGCTTGACACTGGTGGGCATGGGAGACAAGGGAGAAGTTCATGACACAGGGAGAAGGTTAGGAGAAGGGGTAGTTGCACAAGTTAGGATGGAGTAAGAGGGGAGATAGAGTCCATTATACATGTGGAGGGCTGGCTATAGAGAGAAGCCTAATAGTTCATCTATCATAGCAGGAGGGAGCAAAGAACGGATGGGCACTGCTCCGGGTCACAAGGAGATTGGGTGCTGGGAGCCTTGGAAGTTGTTTTTAGATTGTGTGTGTGTGTGTGTGTGTGTGTGTGTGTGTGTGTGGTGTATGTTAAGTAAAGCCATCAAATGAGAGTAAGGATGGGCAATATGTATTGGAGGTTTGAGGAGAAAGAAAAAGTCATGAAAAAGTCATCCAGGGCACGTTGTTCTCTACGTGTGGTCCAGACCAGCAACATCAGCACCACCTGAGAGATACAGTTACTCAAGCCCTGCCCCAAACCGACTGATTCAGAAATCTGGGGAGGGAGGCCCAGCAATCTGAGTTTTCATGTATTTCTAGGTGATTCTGTGGTAATCTCAAACTCGGGAGCAAGTTAAGGGTAAACAGGAGACTGATGGATTTCTAGAAATGTATGTTGATGGGAAGAACAAAGAACCTCCTTGAAGACACTGTTCAGGAGTTGACAATGAGATCAGTCAGGGAGTCAGGTGTCTCTCTCCAGCCCTGACCATGTCTGTAGGTGCACAGAGATGAATGATTAGATTTAACCTCGCTTGGGGGTTTTTTCCAGGTGAGAACAGTGAAACAAGATTGTGAAGAATATTTGCCAAGGTGTAATATAATGGTGGAGTCTCACAACCTAGGCTAAATGGAAAACCAAGCGACCATGAAAATATATGATCAATTGCTAATAAGTTCCAGTGGAGCTAAAGCTTCTTAGAGCTGGGATATCAGAGTGAGCTGGAAAGAGAGAATGCTTGAAATTACAATTATAGAGGAGTTCTATTTGCTGGCAGTAAGTCTAGGTATGATCTTTGAAGTGACTGCTTGAGGCAGAGTGGAGGATGTAAGAGTTGGAGGAGAGGGCATCAGGAAACTGAGAGTCTAGGACATTGGAAAGATTTTATATATATGTGCGTACTGAAGTCATCATGTATGCTGGAGAAGTAGCAGTAAGCCAAGAGCTAAAATCTGCAAAGGATTAGGAGGGGGGGGGGTCTGTTAGTGACTGTAACAGATTGGAATATAGAGTGATAAAGACTAATGACATGACATTCAAAGATGAGGATTTGCCGTTGTTCTTGTGTTGGGAGGGAGGCTGTATGAAACAGGAAGGATACCGAGGGCCCACCCCCAGGCCTGGTGTTGCAAGAGTCTTGAAGGACACAGCGGCCTTCACCTCAGAGGGCTGAGTGAAAAGCAAGTCATTTCCCGAGAGGAGAGTCCAGAATTTGGTGGTTAAACCCGAATTCCAGAAGGCAGTGTGGAAGGGTTTTGGGAATTTGAGTGGGGTCATAGAGTGAAAGAGAAGATGGGAAAATGCAGAGATGGTTGAGGACAAGAGTCCACGGAGATGAAAGATGACTGAGAGTTCTAAGCATCTTGTGGGGCCTGGCACCCACCAGAGAACAGGGCTAAGTGAGGTTTGCCTGTGTGTCCTCAACAAGGCTGGGAGCATTGCGGGGCAGTGAACTGTGGTGGACTTGCCGGGAGTGTTCTGAGGCCTTCTTCATTCTTGCCGACGGCTGTGTGAGGCCAGAGATGGGCAGGCTCACCCTTGGTGTCTGGAAATCGGGGAGAGGTGGGAGGCCAGGGAAGCATGATCTTCTTTGGCTGACTGTGTGGACGGCTCTCCCATCAGAGTAGATTTGGAAATAGCTATTGGAAAATGGTGGAGAGTAGATGAGTCAAGGCTACTACTGTAAGTTCAACGCCCTAACACATGCCCAATTCAGAAGTCTCGGGTTGGTAAAAGTTCTACGTATTTATTCTTGTCTTCTTTAAATCTTGGAAGTGGAAAAGGAAAAGAAAAATAATCGGAAATTAAAAAAAAAAATCAAGTTTATTTATTTATTTTGAGTGAGAGAGACAGAGAGAGTGAGCAGGGGAGGGGCAGAGAGAGAGGGAGAGAGAATCCCAAGCAGGCTCCATGCTGTCAGCGTGGAGCCTGATGCAGGGCTCGAGCTCACGAGCCAGGAGATCGTGACCTGAACTGAAACCAAGAGATAGATGCTTAACAGATTGAACCACCCTGGAGCCCCCCAAATAATCTGAATTTTTATGCTTTTATCCCTCCAGTTTTGTGAGGCCCAGGAAGTACCCCTCAAGTGTATTCGTTGCTATTATTTCCAGCAAGAATTGCCACTTCATTTCATGTCAGTGCCCCATCCGTTCTTCCTGACTTGGCTCACATACAAGGAGACATTTTTTTGCATACCGGTGAATAGATGCTCTTAGGAACCAGTGTGGATTGGTGGCTCGAGCATAGGTCCTGGGTGTGAGCCACGTGCCTAGGATGAAATAACGTATACTTTTCTGGGGATGCACACCTGGAACGCAGACATGGGAACTACCGAAAAAGCAGTTGTTTCAGATGCCAAATACTTTCAGAACAGCTAGCTCCAGTGGAAACCTCTTCAAGTCTGGCAAATTCCAGGGTCTCTGGGCTGTACATGCTCTGTTTTCACACTGTAAGCCATTGCTCTGCGTAGAAATGCTCGAACGCGGTTAGAATTCTTGTAACGTCCCTTTAAGTGGCATAATATCATATGCAGAGTGACAAGCCCCATTAGAAAATGCAGTCTCCCCTCACAGCTAGGCTTAATGTGCAGCAGGGGAAGGGACTGATGCAGGAATAATTCCTCTTGATGACTCAAGATTGATTCTAGAAGAATTTAAAGAAGAATGTGGGCTTTTCAAGGAAGTGGATAATGCAGGAAATCTCTGGACAGCTGCCGGCGACATTGAGTATCTGGGGAGAGCTGCAGGGTCAAGAGAAAGATTTGCTTCTCCAAGGCCTGAACTAAGAAATAAAACAAAGCAAAACGAAAGCAAACATATGATGACAACCGGAAAACCCTTGAACCTGTGAGGAGGACTTACGTTTGTCTATCTATCTATCTATCTATCTATTTATTTATGAGAGTAGGAGTGGGGGGAGGGGCAGAGAGAGAGAGAGGGAGACAGAGGATCTGAACGGGGCTCTGTGCTCAGAGTGGGGAGCCCCATGCAGAGCTCGAACCCACGCGTGGTGAGATCATGACCTGAGCCGAAGTTGGAGCTGAACGCTTAATCCACTGAGCCAGCCAGGGGCCCCCAGGACTTGCCTTTAAAGTGGAATGTCAATCCCTTTCTTACCCACTTCCCTTTGTGTTACTATTACTACTAACTGCTGTTAACCATTTCTTCTCCAGGCTTAGCAAACATTGTTTCAAAAGACACAAATGGAATCAGCCTATAAATACTGTTTTGCCAGTTTGCTTCAAATTGAATGGATTTTGGACCTGAAAATGTACTATAGTCTTTCGTTCAGCTGTTCAGTGTTCTGTGTATCCTTATGGAATAATTTATATAACCTATCCCTATTAACATTTAAATGGCTTTCATTTGAGACTATTACAACAAAAGTGCCGTTAATGTCCTTGAGCATTATTTTTGTGCGGTAAGGCAAATCTGTTTATGGGTGAAATTCCTAGAAGCGTAATTCCTGGGTCAAAGAATACATGCATTTCTTTAAGCTCGGTAAATAACATGTTTTATTTTAGGCTCAAAGTATTCTTACGAATCCATAAGTAAAAGGTGAATAAAAAATCTAAAACTAATAACGGAACACATGTCAGACAGAAAAAGAAATACAACTGGTTAGTGAGCAAATGAACAGTTACTCAGTCTCACCCCTTCACTAACTGAAAATTAAAACCAGATAGCATTTTCCCTGTAAAGTTGATAAATACTCCTACATTTGATCCCACAGGTCATTTGTGAGAGGGCGGGGAGCCAGCACGGGCACACACTTTTGATGATGGTGTGAGCGATCATCACCTGTTTTGGCAAGAGCGTTGGCGACAGCTTTGCTGGTGTTTTTACTCTCGATGCCCTGTCACTTGGCCTTGAGTTATGCTCTGCTCATTTGATTAGAGGAAGATCTTTAGGCACTAATTATAGTTTATTTTTCAGTGTGGAAAGCTGTCCGACTTACCTTATACTGGACTGATTTACTGGTTTAACAGTATGGGCATTCTGTTGCATTCATTCAATAAATGTTTATTAGGCATCTATTATGTGCCACTGGGAACACAGTGGGGGACACGGGGTGACTAGCAGTGGACGTGACAGGCAAGGCCTCTACTCTCACAGAGTTTTTATTCTAATGGGCAAAGGCGACAACAAGATGTATGATGTATAGCAGGAGGTGACAAGGCCTGGGGCAGAACCAAAATGGGTAAAGGGATAGCGAGTGACTGAAGGGCCATTTAGATAAGATGCCAGAGAGTCTTTCTGAAGAAAAGACATTTTAGCTGAACACTGGATGACAAAAAAAAAAAGAGGTGGCTAATCAAAGAACTGGCAAGGGCCCGCCAAACCGAGAGCACAGCATGGGCAAAGGTCCTGGGGCAGGCAGGAGGACCAGTGTTATAGCACGAACTGCGTCCTCCCGAAATTCAAATGTGGAAGCCCTAACCTCCAATGCGACTGTGTTTGGAGACAGGGCCGTGAAAGAAGTAATTAGCATCAATGAGAGCATCACTTACACCAAACATATCCCAAAGCTGCTTACCTCTCTCAACCCCCATCTCTACTCTCTAGCTGACACCATCCATTCTGGGGGTCCGGGAAGGCTTCCTCATGTCCTTCTTGCTTCCTACCTGCCCCTTTGATTCCATTCTCCTCAAAACAGCTGGAGCAAGATGTTAAAAGGCAAGGCTATGGGAGGATATGCAGACACAGCCAGAAGGCAGCTGTCTATCAACCAAAGAGAGAAGCCTTAGAGGAAACCTTCTGCCACTGTGATCTTGGTCTTCCAGCCCCCAGAACTGTGAGAAAATAAATGTCTGTTGTCTAAGCCACCCAGTCTGTGGTGTTTTGTGACATCTGCCTGAGCACACCAAGACAGCCAGTGTGGCTGAAGCTTCGTGACCGGGAGGCAGTAAGGAGGACATAGGGTTCCAGAACCAGGCAAGGGCCAGGAGGACAGGGCTTTGAGGGCTGGGGGTAAGAGGCGGGGTTTAATTCTAAGTCTGATGAGAAATTATGGGAGGGGGTAGTGCCTTTTAACATCTTGCTCCAGCCGTTTTGAGGAAAATGGGGTCGAAGGAGCAGATAAGAAGCAGGTAGGCTATGAGGAAGCCCTTCCCGGATACGCAGGAGGGATGGTGTCAGCTAGAGAGCAGCTAGCTCTCTGGTTTGGTGTAAGTGAGGGAAGCCCAGGGGACCCTTCCCTGATAGTCTATAAAGATAGGGTGCTGGGAGTGATCCACGTTGGCGATCCATCCAATTAGTGGTGCATTCTCTGTAGACGATATCAAGACCGACCAACCCAAAGCCCTCTGCTTTTTATTATCATCACATGCTGACGGTTGTAGACAGTGTCAGTGAAACGACATTCCTCCTGGGAGCACGGGACTCTCCTAGCCTTTCCCACCACCCACCACGCTGGTGTCACTGGAAGAGGTAGGGTGAGCCCAGTAACTGCACCTGCTAGGGCAGTGAGGCTGAGGATCTCAAGTTCCCCTCGTAAGACTGGCCGCATCCCCTCCCTCCCTGAAGGGCCAGTGGATAAAGACAGGAGTGGAGAAGGCAACAGAGTCTCCTTTGCCAGCGCTCTCCCACCTGGAGAGACAGAGCACCTCCCCCCTCTTTGCCTGAGGCACGAACAGAGGAAGAGGTGGCAAGGAATTCCTGAATTCTCCTCAGCTTTCTGTTCCTTCTCAAACCTTTGGGCAAAGGATGAGGCTGTCCCTGGAGAGAAGGGTCCAGAAGAGTGTCAAAGCAGCCATCTCCCTTTTGTGCCACTCCCAATACCCCACAGGACACGGAGAACCCATTCTTGCCACGAGGGAGCCGGGCAGTTCAGCTTTTACGCCAGGAGGATACAGGACGGTCCTATAAGGACATGATTTCAAAGGCCGAGTTGAATTTTAGACTCAGTTCTTATCTCAAACTATACCAAGCCCATTAGCCAGAATAGCTCACCAGGGATTCTGGACTAGATTCAAATTAGCACAATACTGATTCCCTAAATATGAACAATGGATCACTTCTTTCACAGCTAAAGTCCTGGAAGAAATGAGAATTTAGAAGTGAAATAAAAGTGCAAGTTCCTTTTTTCTTGTAAACCAAAGACACAACTCTAAAATACCTTCTTCCCACGTTTCCCATTCTGCTCAGACTTGGAGAGTCTCACCCAACTGCTGCAGGTGGGGCCGTCTTCCTGGGCTGCCACGGTGATTACCCGATGCTAAGAGTGGATTCCTCCAACCTCAGAACTCTTATGCGTCCCACGTCTCCAAAGACTCAAGTCAACCCGATTCTCAAGATGATTGATCAGCTCACCGGGGCCATACAGAGATGAATGGTGTCTGATCCCCAGTGAGAGCATTTCACAAATAGAAGCTATGTTCTCCTCTGTCTTGAGCCAGCAATGGATTGAAGCTGAGAGTTGGTGGAGGAAGTAACACAGAGAAAAAGTAGGAAGGAAAAGATTCATCTTGCCTCTAGATTTGTCAGAACGCCAGTTACTCTATGCCAGCTGTCTGGAGTGTACAACATGTTCACTTAAACTCAATTGGGAAAATGTTCCATCATGAGCTTCAACATACTGCCATATGCCTTGCATAAGGCCAAAGCTTCTCGTCTGAGCTACTACTGTTGGAACTTTCTTCCTCAGAATCCTGAGGAGAAGCAAAGACCTCTGTCTGCTGTGTGCTTCACCCCCAAAACCTGCAGTAGTTCTGGGTTCCTTCAGCTCTGTGTGGGGCTGTCAGAATCCCCCAAACCCGTGCCTGGGTGGTCCCTGAGATACAATGACCCCAAATCTTTCCCTTTTCTCATGTTCTCCCCCTTAATTCCCCACGCCTTGAATAAATTTAACTGCTTAAGAGGCGGCACAAGATCCCCTGTTAAGCACCCACTTCCTGGTGCATCAAGTTCACAGCTGCAGGCCAATGGGAGAAACCAAGTAAATATCTTTTGTGGCTCCTATGCCCAGCCCTCCCAAACTGCCGTGCATTCAAACCTCCACACATATTCCCAGACCCTTTTGAAGACATCCTCCTAAGATCAGTGAAAAGCCCAACTCTTTCTAGGACCTTGGCTCTGTCAAAGACTCTGTGAGCCCCTGGACTCCTGGAGAAGTGAAAAGATCTTATTGATGCCAGATGAGAAATCTCCATCTTGGCTCTTGACCACATCCCTACTCATTCATTCTGAGGTTCCAAATCAACAGGGAGTCTCCCTTAGTGCTGATTCCTCATGTGGCTGCCTGGCTGGGGATAGCTGGCAGATTCAGATGATATTCAACTGCTAGGTCCTGTGATTACCAAGTCCAGACTCCTTGGCCTTGC